ACTTTTTAGCGCGGACCCGACGTCCATATAATTGTAAGTCAATGCTGCAGAGTTAAACCATAACACTGTGAGAAATTAGATTAATTAATTATTATTACTTTTGTTTATGTTTTGGCTTAATACGTTATTTATGTCCAAAAAGTGTCAATGTGGCAATAAAAGATATTTGTATTTATACATTATACCCAAGGTAAGCCTGAAAACATAGCCATTAATTTTAAGTTTTTGGTGTATCATTGTAATGTTAAAGAATAGTCTTTATATTTATATTTGTTATTTTAATATCCAAAACAGCATTTTGGGAAAAAGCCGTGTTAAATTTTTATCGATTTTTTATAATTTTCAAACACTGTATTGAGCCTTGCAGTGTTTTGGTTTGACACGATAGAATGGGCCTTGATATTCAAGAACTCTCGTGGACACTGTAAATGTATTCTTCACTGAAACTTACCCATGTCTGGATACTTGAAGCAAAATCCAATAATAAATATAGTTAACAGTGAACATGAGTATAGATGTAGGGAGAGCAAATGCTGTATATGTATAATGAGTGAAGACCTCCGTCCCATTGTTCCTGAAAATAAAAATGACATGATACACATTACCTTCCGTGTCTGCCATACTTTTTTTTTATAATATCTAGTGACGGGACGAACAAGTCGTGCACCTGATGATAAGCCTCACGCCTGCCCATAACAGTTGCAGTGTCACCCAGAGCTTTAAATCGCAAATATCTGAGGGGCACTGCCACTGCGCCCGTCACCCTGAGACATAAGTTGAGGAGTCATTTCACCAGCACCCTTAACCTTCAAAACCTGAACAGGAATGCTGACATTACTGCGTGGCGGCAGAAATAGGTAAGGTGGCAGTACTTCCCTGGACGAACTCGTTCTCAAGGAGCTCTACCGCTACTAACACTTGTTCCTCTCACTAAAATTTCGAAAGGATATTTCTATACTCTAGCCAAATTCAATATAGAACAAATGTCAACAAACAAAAACATACGATTTTTAGGGTTTTCATCTCAGACTCTTTCACAGTCACCACAATTTCAATATATTCCTACGAAATTCAACTACATTATGGGTAATATTAAATCTTGAAACCATGTTTATAATGAATATTGTTCAACAGAAGTTTCAAATCACCTAAAAATGACATGAAAATGACCAGTTATTAATTATTTGTAAAACTGTGTCATCCCTATTGACATTTTGATTTGAAGGGAGATATTGCAAACATTCGAGTTTTGGTGGTAATTCAAATTCAGAATCGGAAATAGATGCTGGATGATATAATATGGTAAATTAATATCAAATAAAATCTTACAATTTTGTTTCTTTTCATCTGCCATTACCTACCATCTAGTAGTAAATATTAATAGAATGCAAACACCTATTTTTATTCCTAAGTCATACGTATCAATAGGTAATTTGTAAACTTTATAATAATGGGCTAGGTAAGTATTAATAAATATTACTTCTACATAACCCAATTACCAATTTAAATTCCAATTAAGGAAGCAGGCCCTGGGCAGAGCAAGTCTTAATAATGGGCATTGGAAAACATTTTCTTCTGCTATGCCATCATTCGTTGCCTAGCAATGTTTTGTTATTAAACATTCTACATCGAATTCGACTAGAGTATAGATAATTTAAATACAATTTATTCCAAACTAAAATAAAAGAAATGTGGACGGGAAAGTGTCCCTTTCTTCTCGCATAGCTGGGACAAAGAATGCTACTTTTGGAACAGCTATATTAAAATGGTTATTTGTTATGCAAGGCTGCAAAGTTGTTGTTTGGCGCGAGTACTTTGTATTGAAACCTGGGCAAGCGAAGGATTCTAAGATTAGAATGCTGACCGTAGCGAGTGTTGCAAGGCACAAGCAAGACAACTTTGCTGCCGAGCGAAACACACAACTTTAAACCTCACTATAGCGAGAAAAATGGTAGATGAAAGAAAAACAGTTGAACTATAACACGTGTCACTATGTCTGTTTTTCATCGAAAGAAAAGTTGGAATTTCAAAAACTTTTCCACGCTACCTTAAAAAACACAACACAACTTTTCTTTTAAAATTATTTTAAACATTGAATTCTTATTGTATATTAATACAGAGATCGAACGCAAAGAAACTAAATTCCATTTTTATTAATTTCCATCCGACTGGATGGACAAGCGCCTTCAGCATACCGTGCCTGACTTACTCTCCCAACTTAGCTACGGAAATATCTTTCCATATGCTTGTTGCAGATCTTTGTTTTTTTTTGTATTATCGACTTTTTAATTAATATTGGACTACTTACCACCTATTTACTGCATTAAACATGGATAAGGCGACCATTGTCGTATAATTATTGTGTATAAAGATAAGGCTACCTGAAATTCAAACAAATCATTATGACAATAATCTTATAGCAACCAAATAACGAAATTCCGACGGGTAAACTCCATTTTTTTTTATATACTCCCGGACACGTAATTTTGCCTCGCATTTTTGCCTTAAAGGGTGAGAATACAAAAATAGTGTTATCATCGAAGAAAAAGATTTTCCTCAGTTTTAAATTAATCTTCCAGTTTCAAAATTGCGTAACTATCCTAGTTCTTGATCAATCGAACATTGTTTAAGCTTAGGGCATTTAATACTGATGCGAGGTAGCCCGAATTACGTGTCCTAAATATACTAAAGCACAAGTTGACAAGCCTCATGTGCCTGTAATTTCACCAGCACCCTTACCCCTCAAAACCAGAACGCAGTAATGCTGACATTACTGCTTGGTAGCAGAAATAGGTAAGGTGACAGTACTTCCCTGGACGAACTCTTTTACGTGAGTACAAGGTCTGCAAGTTGCTCCGTCAGTACCTTTGGGTTAATGAGTATTACTGTTGACTGCCTCCGTGGCCGAACGGTTACCACGCCTGATTGACATGCAGATGTCCCAGGTTCGATTCCCGGGCCGGGAGAAATATTTTTATAGCCTATATTTATTTCCCTCGTGAGTTTGGGTAATTTGTGGTTGCCTGTGTGTATCCTTGGCACCCGCGACACAGGGTTTCCCTAGTGCGGGACTATGTTGAGTGTGTGCGTTATTATAAAAAAAAATGTTCCTCTATTTAAAGGTAACAACGGAGTGACGTTGTATACCCTGTACCTCTTAGAACCAGTTCAAATCGGCAGATTGCAGGGGAGAACATCGAAGAGGATATTATGCAAAGTCGAGCGTCTACGTACGCTTGATTGACACGCACCGGTCGGTGCCCGCCGCCAGTTTGATAAGGCCTTCTGTTATACCGTTCGCCGATTTGCTCCGGTTTCAAGAATCGATTGCAGTTGCTCTAGCGGTCCAGAAAGATAAATAACTATACGCATTGATTTCAGAAGGCTTTCTGCTTATAACTACCACAAAGGAAAGATGGATCATCTACATACCAATCGTAGCTGACGTGTGAATTACAGAACACAGTATGTAGCGGTACATATTGTAATCGTAATACGGCATCTTGAGACTTTTGTCCGGAGCGTATGCACTCTAAAAATATAATCATTTTTAACCAGTTTAGATAAATACATATATTAAGCTGTGGTAGCCTTGTTTGACCTACCGCCTCTCAAACAGAGGCCGTGGGATCGAATCCGGGCCTCCGGACTCGCACCTATGAGTTTCTCGGAACTTATGTTCAAAACTTGATTACAAATTCATATTTAATTTAAGCTTTTCAGTGAAAGAAAGCATCGCGATGAAACCTGCAAGTCGAAGAAGATCCCCAACCCGCACTGGGCCAGCGTGACGGACTATGGCCTAAACCCTCGCCTGAGGGGAGACCCGTGCCCAACAATGAGACGTATGTATGGGTTAGGTTCTATGTCGACTAATTCCTCTTTTGCCATGCCGGGGTCACCGTTTTTAACCAATTAAACTACAAAGCGACTCGGCACATCTTATGAATTTCTCTATGCGCTTGCCTTCAGCGCCACCTTAGAGAAACTTATACTTAACTCATCGAATATATTACCAGAAACAGAGACGAAATGTCATTTAATTTGTTTGAAAATTATTTTGTGATATCATTACTGTAACAACTGCGCTCCGATTGGCCAGCCCGAATTCGAAACTCTTGACGGGTGTTGTCAATTGTTTCAATTCAAATCGACCAGTTAACTTGAGCTTTGCTATAATGGACGAAAATTACATAATTACATATTTAATATTTAATTACCGATGAAATTTGATTCTGTTTGTTTTGTAATTAGATGTTTTGCTGTTTTTCCCCAGACCACCAAATGAAACAGCACACCATTGTTAGAGATTATTATCTTTATTACAATAAATACTGAATATTTTTGGAATATTCGGAGACGTACATACATGTCAGTTGTTGTCCCTTCTATATTTCAGTGCAAACGAAGTTTGATGTTTATAAGCATTGACTTGCAAGTATATGGACGTCGGGTCAGCGCTAAAAAGTGTCCGAACTTATAGGGCGTTAAAATCGTATACAGTGCGTCATTCACGCTTTAGTCTTCGTTTGTTCGACTGACAGCGAAGCAAGCAAAATTAGACAGTACTGCGATGACATTACAATTTAAATTCAACGTTTTAGCTTTTTCATATTCCTTTACATGTCACTACGTTTAAATAGGTTGACTTGGGACATTTTTTTCGTGGTTTTTGTATTAGACCCGTCGTCCATTTATTTGTAAGTCAATGTTTATAAGTGATATATCACTGATGTGTTACCAGGAATGTATGGCCCTTATTTCGTCTTTATTTCTGGTTATATACTCGATGACTTAACTGTATTTTGAGTAATATTGTATGTCGGAGGGTCGCTTCCGTGGTGCCATCGAGTGGATTTAGTTGTACTAGTTGAAAACGACGGGCTATTGACTTGGGTAATTTCGATACAGGGATGGCGAGAGCTCCAGAAGGAGGTCGCCGAGCGCGATCGGGTGAGGGTCGACCCTTATCGGCTGAGGCGTACCTTCGCGGTTACGGGCGATCGGAGCAACGACTCCGCCAGTAAATTTGGCAGCCGGATAACCTATCACAAAGTTTTTTTTTTTAGTTTTTTTTTTTTTTATCCAAAATAACGTTTGTTCGAATTTTCATTACACCGAAAACCGAATTATAACGAAACTGTTGTTCTTTCAGGATATGTTGAACGTTTATGGCAAAGAGACGATTAGGTCCCATAGTAGGATTAGGTAGGAACATGGTGGTACAGTGGACCTTAAGGGCACTGCATACATCACCCTGAGACATAAGTTGCCAAGTCTCAGGTGCCTGTAATTTGGTTGTTTAATGAGGATAACCGGGATCGTCAGACAGTATAAAACTCGCGAGCAACGATGCGTCATTCTGTATCGAACCTGCCGCGTTTTCTATTAAAATCCGTTTTAACTCGATCCAAGTTCTACACTTTCGAACTATATATGAAAAGTGCGTAAACGGATTAATAACAATCAATTGACGTTATTATTTCACCGTCGGCAGATTGAAGTGACAAAGTATAGTGCATCGGTCTATTATCAAATAATTCCGGAATAAATCAGTGACAAGGGTATTTCCCTTAGACGGCCATACTCCAAGTATTAACATGTACATTAACGTACCTGGGTATTTATAAGAACCGGAGTAACTAATGCCATTATTTCCGACGTAACAATTAATCTATGACTGACTGCGGAAAATATAAACGCCGCAAAAGCACATCTAAACAAAAGCCTGTGAACATAAATTGTGTGTTATTTTTATTCCTTAATTGCCTTCCGTTTTGTAGCTGCATCAATTGAACGTAGTTAAACAAAAAGGATCCAATTCACAAAATTATCAAAAAACGAGTTATATGTATGTACCAAACGGTTCGTAAAGTCTGATCTCTTAGATCAGCAAAAAAAATCCAACACTAATAAACATATTTGGAGTTAAGTTTTGAAAATAAAACATGAGTGAGAAACACTTTTAAGGTGCATCCACACTGCAGTTACTTTTTGTGGAGCAACGTTTCCAAGTGTTACTCGGCAACAACTGATAGCAAAAAGTTATTTATTGTTAGTATACGTTGCCGTGAGTGTATGTTAAGTAATGTTACCTAGCTTTTGAAAAACAGTCTACACAAGGATCGATAACATTATTAGTTCGTATCTCTTTCAGCGATTTTAGCACTGATTAAGTTTAAAAGGGTTTCAAAATCAGAGTCTGTCACTCTCACAAAATTACTCAAAATTCCATCAATACGTACGTCCCTAACTGCCTCGGTGGCCGACCGGTTACCATGCCGGACTGCCATGCAGAGGTCCCAGGCTCGACTCCCGGGCCGGGAGAAATATTTGTATGGCCTACATTTATTTGTCTCGTGAGTTTGGGTGTAATTTGTAATTGTCTATTTGTGTGTCCATGGCACCCGCGACACAGGGTTTCCCTAGTGCGGGGCTATGTCGAGTGTGTCCTTTATTATTATGTCGAGTGTGTGCAATGTATTCACTTCCTCTATATACTTTTCTCTAAAGTATTTTGCGCACCTAAATTAGAGCGTATTATTTTACTTATTTAAAATGAGAAAACTTGCTGTCGCTATAATCAGTTCTTCGTCTACCTTGCCGAATCAAATGAGACACGTATGTTGCCTGCAGCAGTTTGAAAATATATGCGACTCGTTTGTTGTTGAAAGTTACTCTTTGTATTCTTAATTTCTGTTATTGGCGGTATGAATGCGATGAGTAACATTCAACAAATAGTAACAAGTAGCCACAAAACTTACAAATAGTTACCTAATGTTACCGTGTTGCTCTGCAAAAGATAACTGCGGTGTGGATGCACCTTTAAACTTGAAACTGCCATATCTCGAAAGTGACTGGATGTGCATTGGATCCTTTTTGTTTACATCCAATTGCTTATTGATATACTACTGATAATACTATAAAGGCGACTTCCCATGACCCATGGCCCATTTGGCGGCTCTGCCGGTGGTTTCGCGCAAACGCGCCATGGTTCGCAGGGCCGCCCAAGTGCACCTGTGCAACCGTGCGCAGCAGCTTGATTGTAATCACAATCAAGCTGCTGCTTGACTCGGAAACTGCGTCTTTTCCGAGTCAAGGCGCATAATATTGCGGATGGGCTTCATAGTCGCGTCCCGGGACTCGTCCATTTAGCGAGCTTGCCCGTGAAAATCGGCGACATCACAAAATTCGTTTACATTGTAAACGAATTTTCATGCGTAACTAAACATAATTAATTAAATAAATAATTACAAAATAGGCGCTTTGTCGTCGAGTTGCGGAAACCAGCCCGTTGCACCAAGTACCAAGTAAATAATTACAAAGCACTTACCTTGACATCGACAGATCTGAAGGATCAATTAAATTATATAGGCCACGGCTTGTGATCCCGCTGTTGTTAAACAACATCAAACACCAACTTCCAACAATTAACAGGATAACGTAGGACTGTAAAAGAATTTAAATATAAACTTAAACCTCTATAATAAACTACACGAACGTCTAATTCCAGGGTCCCAAATCTGTTCCTACTTGGTTATTCAACAAAATTAAATCATCTTTCTTCTAATTTACAGTTTTATATGTTTATCGTAATTTATTTTTCTTAAAGTTTCCCCATCTAATAAATTATTTCTAGCATCGGCCTGTGCTCATTGTAACCTATATCTTAATTGTATAGGATAAACATCAGGATTATATAAAAGTTCTACATGAGAACACAACAAATTATTTGGCAGATTACAAAGTGTTCCAAACACTAGTTCGTATGGAGTGTATTGTGTCTCGGTATGCACGGTCGTATTATATGAAAAACACCAAAATATCATATCTCAATATAAAATTATTTACAAATAAACTAGCAACCGACACTGTATCCTTTTTTTCTAGTGGATACGCTTCCACATATTTACTCAAGTTACATTGCAAAGTTAAAATATATTTACTATTATAATTATCAATATCTAAAGGTCCCATTAAATCTAAACTAACCCTTTCAAACGCGGTACTAGGAGTCGTTGTAATAACCATCGGTTCCCTAGTATGCCTGTTCGAGTGTTTCTGAATTGTACAACTCTTACACTTTCTAATTCTATGACGTCATTAGCAATTTCTGGCCAGTAGTAATATTTCTTAATTTTATTCAGCATCCTATTTACCCCCGCGTGGTCACTGATGGGTAATAGACTGAAAGTCATTCGATATTACAATTTTAGTATCTTTTTCAGTTACTGTTACTACGTCATTCAATACTAATAACTTAGGAAAATCACTCAGCTTATTAATTTCCTTCAATAATATATTTACAAAATCTTTATCACGCTTTCTTTTTATAATAAAGAGCTCGTTTAATTTTATTTCTTTTACAAAAATCTTGTAATTCTCTCGCTAACACTTACGGTAGATAACGATCGAGACATTGCTTAAATAGCCGATTTTTGGGCACAAAAACAAAAGAACCATTTTTACTATACAAATTCTGTAAATTCAGTATCTTCTTCATTGCTGTCTTATTTGCGCTTAATATTAGTTCTACGCTGTCAGTCGGTCGTTTGAGAATTTCCACTACTTTAGGTTGATCAGGCCTAAAAGCGGTGTGATGCTCACCTATCGAGTCAATAATATTGTCATTATTAAGTTTTTGAGCTTGTACTCTTGTCATGACCGATACAACATGCTCATGAATATCTTTCAATTCCTTAGAGTTATACGGTATACGGCTCAATGTACCTGCAGCTGCATTGTGCCGTCCTGGAACATAACTGACATCAAAATCATACTTTTCCAAATAGAGTCTAAACTTTGTTAAACGGCTTGATGGATCGGTCATATTAAATAAATAAATCAAAGGCCTGTGGTCTGTTTTTATTTAAAACTTCTTACCATACAAATAAGGCCTAAAATGACGCACAGCCCACACAATAGCCAGTAGTTCGAGTTCGATGACTGGGTATGGTGTTTCAGCTGGTCTTAGATTACTGCTTGCGTACGCGACTACCTTGCCATTACTATTAGACAAAACGGCGCCTAAACCTAGCTTTGATGCGTCTGTTTGTAAAACAAACGTATTACTTTCTGAGAAGTCTGAATAATCTAAGATGGTAGGACTAAGTAAGATTTCTTTAAGTTTTTGGAAAGCCTTTTCATTCACTTGACCAATTAAAAGATACATTTTTCTTACATAATGCATTAAGTGGATGTGCTGATTCTGCGAAATTCGGTATGAATCTCCTGTAACAGTTAGCAAACGCTACAAGTCGTTTAATATCATCTACACATGTTTGGACAGGATATATTTCTGTAAAACGTCCATATTCGATGGGTCGGGAAAAAATCCATCTGAAGTTATTTTGTGGCCTAAATAAATAATTTGTTTTTGCAAAAATTCACACTTTATTATACTTGTCTAAATTTTTGCAGTACTTTAATCAATTTTTTTATGAGTTTCAAGACTGTTGCCTACTACAAAAAATAAAAAAATAAAAAGGAACTTATTTGTCCACAAAACATAAAGAACAGAATACTTAAAAAACGAATAGAAAAATAAAACAATTGAGTGATGAGGACCAAAAAGGTTAAAGACTCAGAATTGCTGATTTTCAGTATTCACCTGGCTAGCTGTTCGCTTGCTGCACCAAGCTAATATAAGTGCTAATTTAAGCTAATAGGAGTGTACACATAACCTACCTTTAGTAAAAACTAGTAATAAGTTGAAATTTAATGGCTGTCCGCGTAGATTATATATATTTTTCATACATTTAACCAAAAATTTAAAATTTTATGCTGCTAGGAGTATTAATTGGGGACCAGCTTACTAGATTTTTATACAGATAGGAGCCATTGCTTACATCGGTTCGTTTTAGCGTTTTTTACTGGAGGTGGAAGGTCATTCCATCACTTACTCGCTGCGAAACGAAAGCTGCCGCTGTACAAAGTTACACGAGGGAGAGTCAATAACTGAAGATGCGGGTACCGCATATATCGGACATTACTACTGTGTAACTGATCACTCCAGTTGAGTTTCTAGGCCAGATACTTAGGAGTTGACGAAACCCTCAAGGTATACACCAGACCAGTATATCTATTTCTCATATTTAATAAATTATAGGTATTTAAAAAGGGTGTAATATGAGATCGGGGTACCTTGAAACAATACCTAATGCGGAAGTTCTGAACCTTCTGAATTTTATCGGCAGTTTTTTTGTAAGACGTGGCCAATATACTACATCTAAGTAATCCAATATTGACAATACTAGTGAATTTGTTAACCTCACCCTAACAACTTCACTGATGAATGGCCTTAATTTGTAAAGATGCTTCGACAAAGCGGATCATTTCCCTATTTTGGACTCAACATGTTTTACAATACAGTCATGTAAATAAATTAGACATGCCTGATAGTTCAAACCCGTCATGGCTACAGTCGTGTGAAAGAACTAGGAGATATTTTTAATCCCATCGGGCATCTCTTCATTTGATATTATTTATCGGTTGTAAAAGCTGCATATTTCCTAGACTGCTTTTCTAATGACAACTGATAATAACCTTGAGATAAATCTAATTTAAAAATATATATTATTTACCAAAGAATCTAAAATGTCACTTATATTCGGGAAAGGGAATTTATCGTCCTGTATAACGTTGTTTAACTGACGATTATCCACAACTAATCTCCATGTGGTTTCCTCAATAATATCATTCTTTAGCGTATCGTCTACTTGTTTCTGTACTTCACCTTTAAGTGCCTTAGGTAGCCTTATGGCTTGGTATACACTGGTGAACTGGTGGTGGTATTATCTTTTCATTTTATGGAATGTTCATATAAGTTGGTAGTAGACAATGTATCACCTGGTAAATGAAAAACGTCGGCGTATTTAGTTTTCTATACTTATCTGCTCCTCTTCATTTAAATAAGAAGGCAAGTCAAATAAATTAAAAACTTGTCTCATTCAATCTGGCGTTATCTTCTCATCATCAAATTGGTATACGTTATAATGGGTTAAACTATGAATATCTACATCTGTAATATCTACTCTGACTGGTTTGTTAGTCGTATTAAGCATACGAATTGGAATAAGTCCATATTTTGGTTTCACAATTACTCCCGCTATGTACACACCTTTATGTACTTGTTTTGCTAAGACAACGTATTCACTGATGTGTGCCATAGGTACATGTCGAATTACTTTACATCGTGGAGTAATTATTATTTGATTTTTATCAAACTGAACAGTTATGTAGTGGTCCTGGTTTTCCAAACTCAAGGTACCATCTTTGTTACTCAACACTGCGTTATACTTTTGGAAAAAATCTTGACTGAGTATCTCGTCTGCGGCGTAAGCGGAGTTCTTGAAAACATAGAACTTTTGTTTAAAAATTACCCCGTGCAAGTTTTATAGCTAAGTAAATATAACCTTCTGATTGTAAATTACCACTTATCCCCTTAATTAAAACACTATCTTTCTTAATCAACTTAAGTAACACAATATTATGTGCTAGTCGCTCATTTTTACTACGCATAAGCTGGCTCCACTATCAATTAACAAATTCAATTTCTCATTATTTCCTAAATTTAGGAAATAATGAGAAATTGAACTCATATAGACACTACTGTAAAAAAAAATATTATAACTAAAAATATTATGAGTTTAGGCACTGTTTAGGTACGAAAAAATTGTTATTCTCGGTATTTCGCAAACCTTCCTGGGTCATTACCTCATGCACTTTACGCTGAACTCGTGAAAAGTGAGCGCGGCCACCGCGTGACTGCTGGCGCGAGTCACGTGTGTCTTTACTTCTATGACCGGAATTTACAAAGAAAGTTCTTTGACCTTTGTCACCAAGATTTTCATTATAACAATTTGCGTTATTTCTATGTCTTGATTTTTTATGGTAACTGGAATTATTTGTTTGGCCACAAAAACTGCATTTGTAAGAGCCATGATAAGATTCGCGATTATAAGCGATCGGCCTAAACTGCATTACCTGCTCCGATTGCTGTGACGACATTACACTTTCATCTACAGCAAGCCTGATAGCTTCGGGAAGCGACGTGAGCAGCCTTGGGTCGGAGAGCCCATCTGCGAATTGCTTGATCGCAGTTTTCTCGTTAAGAGGACGTAATATATCAAATTTAGCGCTATCCTCATCGGACTGAGCTAATGTCAAATTTACAAACAACTCCTCTAGCTCTGCCCCAAATGCCTCTATCGATCTACGTCCCTGTTTTGCTCTAAAAAGCTGTGTTTGTAAAGCTTCTGTTTTCTAAGCAACAAAAACTTCCTAATATCCTGCACTAAATCTGTCACTGTAGAATACGTGCTTTTTAATCTTAATTTGGTGTATAGTAGCTAGTAGCTCCATCTATTTCTTATAAGCAATATCTTTTTACGTATCTCTAGACCAATTTTACACAAATATTCTCTTAAATAATCCAACTTAATATGAATCTCCTTTAATTTCTCAGACATGTTCATTTCATTATTTAATTGCACAGTCTCTCTATCGCGCGTGATCAGGAGCATACAGGATTGCGCGCGGGAAAGCCTGCAAACGCAATCGTACGCGATTACCTGTTTGTAATTTTTTAAGCTAACGTTCTTTCGCGCTCGATTGCTCGTGTTCAATTTTGTTACAACGGAAAGTGCGTCCGTGTAAAGGCTAGATTTTTTTTATAGCGCAGGATAAACCGCGCGAAAATGGCGCGTGTTGGAGTGCGCGATTGCGCGCGCGACTGATGAGCTTCCGTAAAATGGCGCTAAGGCCGTCCACGCGCGCCTCAGTCATTATGTTGTCATTGTATGTTGTTATTGCTAAGGCGGCTTAATACGATTCCCCTAAGTGTGATTATTCCACAACAATACACAACTGTAGTACTTACATCCAAATATTGGGCGCAAATTGTATTTGAATCAGTGATGCCGAGTAACGGACATAAGAATATTGGAAACAATCCCACAATCGCAACGTTAACGGGTTGCAGAAATATACACCAAAACATCGCAAACCATACAAAAGCAACTTTCGACATCATCTGCAAAGCAAAACAATTGCGAGTTACAAATGTAAGCAGCTATTATGGTAAAAGAACAATTTTATTTAGTAGCAGTAGAGGAACATACTGCCACTTGACCCATTTCTACCGCCACGATGTAATGTGAGGATCACTGCGTTCCGGTTTGGAAGGGTAAGGGTGCTGGTGAAATTATTTCAAAGAAGGATCACTATCCTTCTATGAAATAAACCTGACCCCTTAGAATAATAACGCATAGAATGATAGTTTCATATCAAACGAACTGTCACAAGTGAGGCAAAAATCAAATTCATGTAGGCTAGTTTTAGTAGTAGGTTAATTTTCCGTTTAAGTGAATATTTATACAAAAATACTTGTTGAAACGCGTTACTTCCTTGTGGAATGTGATGTTAGTATCTATTTTATGTTTGTCTGACGTATTTTTACACTCATTTACCGCACATTTCGTCATTTTTAGCTAAAATTCTGGAGCTGTTCGTGGTGCAAATTGACCTTGAGCACTGAAGGCCCGCCCGCTCGTGTAGGCCCATTGGGCGCGCTTCAATTTGCCTCACTTAGCGTGTGCGGACTAGGTTTCTATGCGTTATTATTCTAAGCCTGACCCAACAATCATAAAATCAACGAAGAGCAGTTCTTGGACTTTGCTAGTATAACTTTACGTTTTAGCCTTTAGTTTTTATGCCTATTTATCAATATATTTTTGTATATTTTTAGAAGTCGAGAATAAAGAAATTTAAAAACAATGTATTTTTCAATATATGCAAGAACACAACGCAATTGATTCTATTTGACCACAGATTAGGAAACTTTCTTGCACGTACGTTTCATTGTAAGCATGATTGAATGTTTACCTAACTAAAAGTATTGGTTATTTTATATAACACACATAAAACATTACAACATACAACAAGTTATAAAATAACTAATGAAATAATCAGTTAAACAGTAATGACAAAGTAAAAATAAAAAACTTCAAATTCATTTATTCCAAAATTTACAAAATGCATTTATGAACAATAATAAAATGTATAACCTAAAGATCAGCACAAGGCTTCGTCAATAGGTAATCTAATACAAAAAAAAGTGAGATTCACGTTAAATATACTTAATTTAAAAAGAAATCCCGCCCTGTATCGTGCCCGGGGCAAAAGTTCCCATTATACTGGCAGCATTGCCTCGCTGGACAGCAATGGACACCTGCTGAACCAACCACGACCCAGAGCGGTGATCGCAGCCCCTGTCTCTGAGTCGGCGACCCAACTCTTTAAATAGGTCCCGAGCTTTCGAACCCCAAGGCCCCGCCGTCTCGACCGCTACCGGTACAAAGTCGTACACAGGCTCCAAGGCAGAATATTTCGCGTGTTTTAGTTTCGCGGCACTTTCCGCCGCGGAACCCGCCATCTGCGAAGTTTGTCTTATGTGGGACGCAGCAAAAGTACTTACGCATGTTGCGTCCCACAGAAGACAGCGACCTTTCCGCCAAGGAACCAATGTCAAACCGTCCGGCCTTTTACCGTCTATTCGACTCAGGCCCGGGGGCTCGAGCACGCAAGGGACATTAGCCGACACCATCGCCCGTCGCACAATATCATTAATGGCATGGTGTCTGGGAAAACGACCCGCACACCTTTGGCAGCTCAAACCGTGGTGTCCGTCCTCCCTCACCATAGCCCCACACACACAGCGGTGTGGTTCACAAACCTTGCTTCCCAATCTCAGTGCTACTGCTATCCTTAAAGATGTGTTGTCGAGCAGAGTACCCAATTGGGGAGATGGCAAAGCATGTAACAACGCTCCCGATTCTGATTTAGCGACCGCTCTCAGACGGGCCACATCGGCACTTGAAGCACCCTCCAACAAGGAACTATACCTTCGTTTGCATAGAACGTCGTCCCAATTTCTCTGCAAACTAGGATTATCCGGGTGCTCGTCGCTTGGGCAAAGACTTGACCACCAGGTAAGAGCTTCTGCTTGGAATGGTATGCGAATACCGCTGCCATTTTGAGCTAAAATGCGAGCAACGAGATCCGCAGAGCCATAAGACGAAGCCAGAAACCCCACAAAGCCCACATCTTGCACTCGACGCACTCCAAGTCCACCATGCCTAATGGGAAGTGCAGCTTGACACCACTGCGGTAGAGTAAGACTTATGTTTAGCACTATCTCCAGCGTAACTCTGAGTACATCATCTACAAGGGCCACGTCTCGCTCAAAAAGCCACGTGGGAGATGTCCTCAATATATAAGTAATTCGGGGCATCCCTAAACAATTCCGCAACAAGACGAGCGCCACATGAGCTGATAGATGCGACAAATGTTCCCGTGCAGCTAAAAGTGCCCGTCTTTTTGTTTGAAGAGCAGAACTGACACCCTCAGGAAATATTGGCGCACCCAATAGGCTGACAGACGACCTATCCAGCTGCTTGATGCCCGGCAAAAGAACCATCAAATTTTCTAGTACGTCCGCGTTAATAAATCCACAATTAAATAACTCGCACTTATTTGGATTTATTTCTAGACCAACAACTTTCAAAAAAATAAAACCATGTAACAAAAATGTTTATGTGAGAAATGAAAGTTAGCAAAGGAACGTTTTGACAAGAGGCCTCTTGTCAATGTCAATGTCACATTGATTTTACACCATACAGCCAAGTCTTGGTACATTATTAAGTCTTTTGAGCCATGTATTCGTTTAATTATGTTTCTGTAAATATGGCCGCCACAAAGAGGATAGGCAATTTGAGGCGGCGTGCTTGGATTGACTCGGAATTCCTTAAAACGGGCCGATACGGGTATTTTAGTTCGGGATTCGTATAATTTCGCGTTTTAATCTTCGATTAAGGCACAATAGCACTATCCTATTCCACTTTAAATTAGATTTCACAAAATAATTGAAAGTCAAAACAAAAACGACACTTTTCCCTCCAAAAGGTCCAGAGCGAATCCTCACATTGAGATTGAGAACAGTGTTACCATGACTATGACCAGTGGCAGATTTCTGCTATTTGAGCAGATTTAATTTTTATTCATTTCCATTGCTGCAGAACTTGATAATTGTATTAAATGTGGCAGAGTTTGGCAGATTTGGGAATATTCAGTAAGTTCTTTATTATTTTTGGGAACAAACTGAAAACTTGTCGTTTTCTGCTACTACGAAGCGAAATACAGGAACAATGGTATAAACATAACCTATTTCAATTTTATAACTCCAGCGTCTACAGGCTTCTACTTAATAAGCTTTTTCGATGCTTTGATAATGAATTACAAGTATCAATAGGTCTCCTTAACGCACGCCGTCAAAAACACTGGATCACAAAATACACGAGATGTCGCCATCCTCTCCACCTTCTCCAAAGGTAAATAAATACTTGTTACAGACGTTTTGACATACTTAAATCAATTGTTAAATCATTGTCAAATAAAACTTAAATCTTGTCAACCAGATACTTGTAACTAAAACTATATACAGCTTACTATTACCCTATGTACCCGACGTTGTTCGTCCTAGGTATGGTGGGCTACAATAAACTGGAAGTAAGGCGTGGTGCTAGTTACTTATATTTTTGAATTGTTACGGGGCAAGCAGTATAATCCTGGTGTATTGGAGCAAGTAAAATTGTACGCTCCTGGCAATATACGGGCCGGAGGCGGCCGCCGCCACAGCTAGCGATACCGCGCGTGCGGACTCAGCTGCTGGCCCGAACGCCATTTAGGCATGGCCTTGCTTCTCTCATTCGAGTAGCTGATACAATTGATTTATTTCATTGCACCTTGAGTGAATTCAAAACGGTTGTCTTACACATAATATGTTATGATTCTTAAATTTATGTATTTATGTGCCTATGTGCTCTAACGAACTAGGTTTTACCTGTAATGTTAGTCAAGTTGTTATGTACAAATAAATAAATAAAAATTTTGCGAAAATTTACAATTACGTCAATGTACCACCAAATGCGCGAAATATAGAATGTTCATTACAATGATACTTACATCATCCCTTCTTACAATAATACACCCAATTACAAAGGGTACAATAAATCCAATAATACCTCGGAAATTATTGTGCACGACATTCAAGACCCTACTTGAATCCTCTTTGATTGGAGTTAAACGCTGACTATCGCCAAAACTGTAAAAAAATTGTCAAAAAACAAATGGGTGGCAAAGTGATAATAAATGCTTTATTATACAATTTTTGTTACTGCAACTAAACACATGCCAGATGCCAGAGCGCGGCGTGCTCGCCGCAGATTCGCAGTGTCAATGCCGCGGGCGCGCTATGTTTACACGGCGAGTGTACTACGTACGCGTTTTGGACAGTGAGTATAAAATAAATTCCTACGAGAAAATATTGCTATTATCTTTGTTACTTCGAATGATACGATACAACGACGAATTTAGGAGGATCCATTATCGACTAATCGACTGAAGCAGAGTAACTACTAGAATTGTTTTAAAACCAGTCAAAAATAATCCAAAAAAATCTAGCAATACTTGTGGCATCTGATACAAAATCACTTAAATCATGAAGACACAGTAAGAATTGTCATTGTCAACTGAAGAAAGGCGCGTAATTACTACAAGGTACGTTAATAAATACACAACGGAATAAATACCTTGTTTTACTTGTTTATTTACGGGTGATCATAAAAAAAGTACTCAATAATGACAATATGAACTCAAAATTAATGACTAGATGAAAAGGGTCGGTGGTATCATAATGACTATATCATCTGACCTGGGGCGTTACCATGAATTCTTAGTACATTCAATATGGGTTCGTAACGACAAAATAGCGTAATAAGACTTCGGTAAGGCACCAGAGCAGCATAAGGACTAGATCCACCATAGGATCACCTCTACAGAAAGACTATAACTTACAATGACTTGGTATCAAAACTCGAAATGACCATTGCGTCACATAACGACAAGGTACAGTTTTGTTAAAAAATTGTTGTTCAAAAAATACGAATGAATATGAAGTAGACTAATTAATGTAGGCTTGCTGCATTTCAATATGTCATATACAATTCCAGTTAAAAACACATAGTAATGTTATGAATAATTTATTGTACAATAATTTTTTTGTTCAGAAGGTCGGCCGTGGTAGCAACAAATAAAAATACAAATTATAAAATTTTTTTTGTGATGATACGTGTACTAAATGTTTAACCAAACTGTACTTTGGCAAAACCTGTGTGGTCCATTTAACGATATGGTCATTTTGATATCTAGTCGTCTTACTACCAAGTCATTGTAAGTTGTAGTCTTTCTGCAGAGGTGGTCGTTTTGCGATCTAGTCCTTATGCTGATCAGGTCATTTTGATTAGTATTTAGTCATTATGATACCGACCCGATGAAAGGGAAACGTTAATCATCATTACGGTGCTTTAACTATAGCAGTTGCACGAGATTGTACAACATGAAGTGCATGATATCATTCGCCGGTGGCGCATTCGCTTTTTTTATTTTCATTGACGCAGCAAATTCGCGGCGAGCCCGCCGCGTTCGCACCTCGTTTTAAAATCGCTCGCAAATCGCCAGTGTGATAAGGGCGCGTTCAAATTAGTCGCTGTTAGCCGCGCTGCAGCAGCACTG